TAAATTGCTTTATTATAATTATGCAGGGAGTTTTACAGTTCATATGGACACTGCAATGTAAGTAGAGCAGAAAAACAGAAGAAGAAGAAGGAAAAAGAAAAAGAAAAACACAGGACAAAAGATGAAAGAAAGAGGAGATAGGAAGGAGACAATGACAAAACATTTTCAGTCTGCTTCAACACCTGTAATGAGATGAAAACTACCTGAAAACTTAATTCAACAGCAGCCTCCGGACAGGTGTTTTTCATCTAAATAATCTAAACTGCAGGCAGCAGGATAATAAAAGCGAACATATTCTGTCGGCAGGTTTCAGGATTTTAAGTTAATTTATGCTTCAATAAACTGTTTCAGAGGAGTGATCACAGCCCTGTGTCATCAGCGATGTTTATTGACGAAATAAATGAAAAGGGCTGGAAGGATGAGGAGATGATGAAAGCGTGGCTGAGGGAGGTGTATGTGCTAGTATATGCGTCAATAAACTGTTTCAGAGGAGTGATCACAGCCCTGTGTCATCAGCGATGTGTCTGTCTCACGGCCAGCTCCCAGGTTTGATTAATACTTTGTAATAAATACATGAATAAACACAAACATACTCAGTTTTGCTCCCGCTCTATTTTTAACTACGCAGTAGAGGTATTTAAACGTAGTAGAGGACATGTACCTGTATATAAAAAACGCGCCCTATAGTCCGGTGCACCTTATGTGTGTGTTAAATACAGTAATGACACATATAACTGAGACTGCGCCTTTTAGTACGGTGCGCCTTGCATATAGCTCAAAAGGACATTAGCCTCCAGAGGGCCGGCATGCCCACCCTACTAGAGGCTTAAGCTCTTCATGGATTCTACTCAAATTAGTATCCTTGCTAGAGATTTATGCTGCAGCAAGCTGGACGTCATCTGGGCATCATCATGTTTACTCAGTTTTACAAACTTGATGTCACAGCTCCATCACTGGCGCATTCAGTACTAAGTGTAACACCAAGCACTTATGAAAAAAATTATAATAATATTCATAAAAGAGACAGCAGGGAGTCACAATATGTTTTGTTCCCAATATGAGACACGAAACGAATGCTATGAAAGGGGTTACTTTCGTAACCTCGGTTCTCAGAGTAGCACGAGTGAGCGTCTCACCAAATCATCCTCCTTGCTGTAACATTGCAAGAAGGAAGTGATCGTTTCTGAATAACTCTCAGAGCAGTATCTGCCTAATATATGGGGGGAGGGACTCTGCCCTCTCTGACACCGACAGGTTTATTTTCCAGCCAGTCCTGGCTGGGGTATTGTAAAAAGGAGCTTTTGATGAAGTCGCGCTGAAGTCGTTGCCAATATGAAACACACACTCATGCTACTCAGAGAACCAAGGTTATTAAAGTACTCTAAAGTTCTCCGTACCGCACGTTTTTGTGTGAAAGCTGCTTACTCCCCAGATGTAATAAATGCTTGAAAATTCAAACCAAAAAAGGAAGAATTACTATCTACATACTGTTGCTGCTGATCATGTGACATCAAATCCTATTTTCAATTAGATCAAAATAGAAACTTAATTGTAATATAATATTTTGGCGGGGCAAGAATTATTGTTTTGACTGAAACACTTTGTATAGGTAAACACATTAATAGTCTTAATTAGGTTTTTTTTTTTAGATGGATGGATGGATAAATAGAAAATAGGAAAAAAGCATCAACCAACCTATCTTAGCTTGCGTAGAGGCAGACACCTCAATCCCCATCCCCTGTTGGTTCAGATGAGGCTCTGCAGTGAATGGTGCATGAGGTATGTTGTCCTTTGGTGTTGGCTTTGGTGTCTTTCTACCAGAGGTCTTTAATATGAAAAAGAGACATGGATAATTTTTGATTAAAAAAAAAGCTTTTATCAAATAACTTAGCAGAATATCTACCTCCCCTCCAATAGTTACAGTATTCCACAGCTGTAATATTTTTAGTGTATACATCAGAGAAAAAATATTAGTAGTACTAGCATTTAGCTGGCACACCTGACCATAACTGACTGTGGAAACTTCAAACTGGACTTCAAGCAATGTAGATTCTGTCCCTCTAAACTCTTCCTTCAGACACCGGGAACTTGATTTCTTAGTGAAAGATCAACTTTACTTTAAACTAAAAGACGACTTTGGACCAATAAGCAATGGCTCTGATTTGTTTTATCCTATTACAGGTAAGACACCAGAATCCAATGTGTGGTTTATCTGTGCCTCTTGGATCTTCATGTGCTGACTTCATTCTCAAGCCACTCCAGATTACAAGTATTAAAAAAAAATCTGTGCAATAAATCTATATAATGAGTTTTGATTTCTAAAATGAGAACATTGCATTTTTTGTAAATTTTCTGTAGATGCAAAACTCGCTGTTATATATAAAGCTATTTACATGGTAGTTACCTTGCTGAAAGAATCTGAATGTTGTGCTTCTCCCTCTTGCATAGCCTCTGCTAAACCTGAAGATGGAACCAGTTGCCTGGAGTTTGTAGCTGTCGCAGCAGCAGTAACATTGCCTTGAGGAGGCTGTTCAATGTCTTTAGTAGCCAGTCCTACAGCAAAGGCTGATATCAAACTACAACGAGGTGGCAGCTCTTTCCCAGCAGATACTTGTGCAACTTTTCTCTGCAAATCACTATTGTTACTGATTATAGGGGACCTATGGAAAGGAGTCAATGTAAATTTAGCCTTTTGATTAATCTTAGCTTCTTTTCCTTTGGGGGTTGTAGAACCAGGGCTGGGGGACCTCTTCAGTTCAGCGGCCATATGGTTTCCATTGGTCTCCATTGCTGTTAAGAGAAAGCATATTTATGTGTCTGATGACACTTGTTTGATCACCAAAACAAAGAGTATTGCTGTTAGGCTCCTAAGAAAGACAAGGAAATAAATGAAACAAAAATAACTGCATTTAGATTCATACCCTAAGCGGGCCTACTATCTCAGTTATCTAGTAATCCTGTGTGTTTGGATTGTTATAGAGTTCCCCTGTTGTTATAGTTCCCCTGTGGCGCGAGCACAGGGCGGCTGTTACGCGTCTTTAGCGAGCATGCGCGTTTCCTGTAGCTTGCGTGGTGAATCGTGCATCCTGCGCTGTGCGGAGATGCAGGGGAAACCGTATCTGTTGGGGAAATGCAGCTCGACGTAACACCGGTATCACTGTGAAACCATTCTACAAGTGGCAGTGGCATTACTGACACGCTTTTCAAACTGAGTTTCTGTACTGAGGCTATTTATATCTTCAATTTGGTCTCTTTCGTTTCACATTTCATCCAATGTACCCCATATAATCTATGACCGCTGCCTGTTCAGAAAGCACCGCTGCAGCGCCAACTTCAGCCGCATACTTTACCGAAAACACAAACTTTCTACACTACGGTATGCGATGAAGTCATACGCTTGAAATAAGCAACGAAACAACGGGTGCCATCTTTGTTTTGTTTAAGAAGGGGAGGCAGACTTTGGAAAGTAGCTATTTCAATTGGATTAGTTCGTGTTTATCCCGAATAGCGACTCGAGTGTCTGCAGTATTTAAACAATAGAAGCAGTTCTTAAATCGTCTCTATACGAGTTCAAAAGTAAAGCATGTGGAACTCTACCTAAAGAAGGAATAATCCAACTAGAACGTAGTGTTAGAAAACTACAGCTAATAGGTGAATCATAAAATGAAGGCTTAAATAAGAAAGGTTAAAAAAAAAAAAACATAGCAAGGTTTCAACTAACCAGTAGGAGAAACGTAGAGAGCAGCAAGCACACTGTGTACGGAATGCCTCAAGGGTCATGTTTAGCGAAATTCCTCCTGAAATTACTAGAACAGAAACTATATATTTAAAGATATTTGAAATCTTTTGAAAGGTGGCCGGTGTAACATCGATGTAACAACGGATTATTCCCTGTTCGTATCATCTTCTGATTGGACTTTATAGCATTTATTTGCACCATTATTATTTTTGCAACGCTACCGTTCATTGTTATGCACACATTTTTTTCATTCTTCTGCATGCTAAAAAAAAACAAAACAAAACAAAAAACTGTTTTTCTCCTTGCTCTGGTATATCTTTATTACTGCCGCACTTTATATTGTGATGTTATTTAATTCAACTCCAGTCCCTTTACTTGTCGTAAGCTGCATGCACTCTATGTTTACAAGTTTGTCTTAGTCTAATTACAATAAAGCCATTTATTTATTTTTAAACTGATTAAAACTAGAATTAGGCAATAACTTGCATTTGCAATATCATTGCGATTTTACAAAACGCAATTTTCAAATTGCAAACGCACATTTATGGGCGTTAGACACTCTCACCTTAGTCCTTTAGGTGGCGATAATACGCTTAAAGTGGGCTTTTCTTGCCTAGATAGCTTCTTTTTTAAAGTTATTTACTAAAAAGAAGTTCAAAGAAGGAAGCGTTTGGAAATTATCAGTTGTCCTACTCAACGGTGTGGAAAGCAGTGGCATATTCAGAAATGAAAGACAACATTTGAATAAAATAAAAGTCACCAAAATAGAAAAAACATACGAGTGTATGTTTTAGTATCAATGTGCATTAGTGAGTAGTACATTAACATTTCATATAACATAACATTTATAATATATATATATAACATTTCTTCTTTATGTGTTCGAGACATTTCAAGAAAATGTTAAAAACTGGAGATGATCTAAGGTTATTTTCTGTTTTTGAAAAATGATGATACAATATAATTAAATATTTTTTTGTCTTTCAATATTATCATTGGTTCAGGAAGTGTAATTTTTTGTCCGAACCATCTTTCTAAGGATTTCCAGAATATTTTGGTTTTGTTGCATGTATTATTGAAAGCATGGTCTGTTATTTCACATGATTATCATTTACTTTGATAAATATTGTGACAAATTTTTAGTAATTCTTTGGAAGTGTAAATAGCATTTGAATTTTAAAGAGTGTGTCCTCAGCTTTTAATTATGTAGGGCTTTCAGATAGACTAAAATTTCAATCGATTTCTTTATCATATAATACCATTTTTTATCATACCATTATAGGCCTTATTTTGTTTATCATACCAGTGAGTACAGTTTTGATTAAACTGTTTCTAATTGTACTAGTTATTGAATTTTGAGAGGTTGTAGGACGATGAGCTTTTACATTTTCAGTCTAATTAATTCATTCTTCTGGCAGGGCTTTGAGTAATCTGGTTACTTCAGCTGTATAAAGGGTTATATTTGCAATGGTCACAGTGGTCAGTTGCAACAGCTAGTGATTAACAATACAAATCATCAAATTATTGGCTTATTCAACTATTTTCCCTAACTGTTTGTCCTTTTCCTGTCTCGAGCATACTTAGGGGAAAGAAGAGAAGATGGAGGATATAAAAAACATGGATTAAGCCTTTAAAGATCAATTTGATGTTAAATAACTCTCCTTTATTGCTTTATATTGGAATGCTGCAAATTACACAGTTGAAGCAATTGTACACCGTTTCTATATGTTCATCCATAAGGGTTTGAATTCTGCAACTTAATGACTTGTAATCTGCTGAGTTTTTTTAAGATAGAAACATTTTAACCAATCTGTAAAAATTGGTTTAACTGACTCTTTAAGGGCCTTGATATGAGCTGTTGAGATCATCAGTATATAAATAATAGAGGTCTAATGAAAGATCAATCCACACCGATGTATTGATTAAATTAACATTCCAACTATATTTATAGGAAATAAAAACATTGATTCAAATTTAATACATACCTTTATTTTGAAATTCACAAGGTGAGAGACAACAGTGAAAAGGCTAGCAATCCATATAATAGGAAACACTTTTTTATCTAAATGATCAATGCATGTAAGTGCTTAGAAATAAAATAGTCAAATCATTTTTTTCTTTATTTGGTGAGCTGATATGAATCAAAATAATTGTGTTAGATGTGCAGATTATGTCACACTTCATAGATATTTGCATTTATTAAATAGAAACCTTACATCATTTTGAGAAAGTCTTTTTTATGCTGCTGAAAAAGGGCAGTATTGGCTGGGTTCGCTAAATGTTTAAGCTAGGGTTAGTCTGACTGCACAAGAGGACCAGCCAATCTTATCTATGCAAGGACTCCTGTCTTTGAAGAGGCCATCGATAATGGTGCGATTTGCAAACTCGCTAGTTTCACAGATGGGTTTGGTGAGGTGCTCTCATATGGAAGCTTAGATGACAGAATGCAGTCATCTAAGCTCATCCAACTAATTTAGTAGTCAAACTACCTTGGACAAGCAGACTGTTGTAGGTACAAATGAAATTGCTACCTGATTTGTTGTGATGGTTTTGAGATATAATAAGGGAATCTAGTACTGCTGTGCTACTGTAGCCCTTTTTTTTTTTTTTTTTTTTATAATTATTTTCTAATAATCCCAGAGGGGGGGGGGGGGGGGGTAAAGAGATCTGTTGTACAAATTAGAAGTTGGAGGAAAGATTAGCAACACTTTATTTATATTTGGTTTATTAAAACAACGACAGCAGCAAGATAAAATAAATAAATATAGAGTCTGCTGGATTTTACCAGGAAAGCAATATATCTGCACTGATGTAAATAGAAATCATATTAGTAATGGGGAAATAAAAGCTCAAATCAAAATCATGCTAGATTATTCTAGACATTAATACACACAAGTTTGTGAACACAAGGCAAACAGACATACCTGATGATAAAGATTAAACAACAACAGAAAAATAAAGGTCCAAAACTAACCATGAACATTTACATGGTTATAATTTTCAACATTTTACTGCTAAAAACAAAAGGCATTAAGAGGTTTGGTTTCTTAGGCTACTAGATTTAACAGTAAAACTAACGATATAAGAAAAAATTACAAGTTACCCACAAATATACATCTGAGGCAAACATGCAAATCAAAGTATTCTATTTAGGTATTGTATTGATAGATGTTGTCAGGGAGTTACGAGACTGAGATAAGTCAACTTACACTTTAAAATAATGTATTAAAAACTGGAGAAAAAATAACCATAGTGTATTATAGACCAAAGCTAGCCCTCCAGACATACATTTGCTCATGGTTGCTCGCTGGCCCCCTGTGTTTAGTTGTCTTTTTATTTTATTTTATTATTATTTTTTTTTTTATAGTAAAACAAATTGTGATTGCGTGTCCATATAGTACATGCTTTAAAAATCACACAACTATTATCCTGGATCTGTTTTCTTGATGAACTTCATGTATTGCAGCTCTCAGTGTAGGAAGGAGGGGCTTCTGGAAAAGACAGACATAAAAAAAAAAAAAAATGTTACTCAGTGCACTTTTTATACAAAATATAAAATCCACAACCTTAAAAGCAGACCATGGTGAAATGCTGAAATGGCTGATTCATTTAAATAAACAGCAACCTGGGCTTTTAAGCTTTTCTATGTGCTGCAAGAATCGAGAATGTGTCTTTTTCTTGCAACCCTGAGTCAAAGAACAGAGTTCTTCCAGCAGTGGTAATTTATTTTACATCAAACCTCAAGAACTAATTAGAAGTACTCATAAGACCCCCCACTGTAGCATATACCAGTGTAGGTACTTTGTTTTATTCAAACTGCTGACCATTAAGACAATAGCCTGGATCCACACTTGATTAAGCTGTGCATAGGTCACGTGTTGAAAACATTGCAAAAACACACTTTCATATTCACGTAGACCTCCAAGAGAGAACTGACCTCTCCATTCTTGTATTGTCTTTGAACACACTAAAATACATTTATACTTGTAGTTACGTTCCCACGCCCCAACTCTGGCTTATGCTTTAGGTCTAAACTTTGGCATTAAATTTGATCTCCGCAAATCAACTACAGATTTTACCCTCTTTTTTAAAGTTTTCATGACCAAGATGACTTAAAATTTGCACAGGCAGATTAGGTGCAAATTCAGATTTTTGTTTTTCAGGAGCATAAAATATCCAGACTTCATTGATGGATGAAGGCACATCTTTCTGATTTTATAGTCCTTCATGAAATATGTTGCATAACAACAAACCTTGTGGATAAGCCAAGGCACCATAGTCTGGAGGAAGGGTATCATGTTGAGCTCTTGGTTGGGCACAATTCCCTGAAGGATAAGGAACTGTGGCCTCTGTCGACCCCCTTAATGAAGACCCACTTGAGGCTGTGGCAGATACATTAGGCAGTTGATTCTGTGGAAAAAAGAGGCCTGGGGCATAGCTGAATCCATTGGGTGACACCGGCTGAGACTGGCGCTTGTTTGGAAAGTGTTCATTCGTCACGTTCCCAGCTTCTGTGCTTAACGGGTAATCAGCCGGAGGCGCGCTGGGGGAGGAAATCCTGGAGCGTGGAGCTGGACGGGGAGCAGGTTTAGGGGCAATATGAGGTGATGGTGTAAGCATGGAAGAAGATGGGAGGACATCTGATGTCGACGCAGAGGCTGTCAGCTCCTTCTTGGAAGGAGGAACTTCTTTCTTGGATGAACAGAGTTTCCTGTCAAGTGACACATTTCCGATGTGGATTGGTAATGTAAGTGTAACTTCAGGAGACTTTAGGCTGACCTAAGGAAAGGAAAACAACAAAAAGAAAACTGTTCTTCAGGCAAATATTGAAGAAGGCAAGATGGGTTTTTTAAATTGTTACATAGGAAATATGCAACATTCAAGAGTAATAATCTTCTCACAGATATGCTAGGTATACAATTGAAAGATATCTTAGACAAAAAACAATGTTATCACTTAAACATCATCAGTACTATCTGCAGATCTCATAACAACCTTGACATGGTTGCTGTTTTTAGACAGGACAGTTTAAGATAAACAGCATCTTTGGAAGCATTGTGCATTTGTCATAAAATACATTAGAATAATTACTAATCTATTTGATCACACTGGAATAAAAAATAATAGAATGTATTTTAATTTGTTAGTATGTTTGTTATATACTGTGATAAATGTTTGCTTGTTTAAAAGGTTTTATGAATGTTTTCAAGTGAAAACAAACAACAAGAATGCATCCATATATATATATATAGCTGAATTACTAAAGAAATAAAAACATTGGATGTAAAAAAAAATCAGCTCTGCCTTAGAGATGCCTTGAAGAACATTACAAAACTGCATACATGTAATTTGCCTCACAAAAAGAGATACTTGGATACTGAGTCAGTCACTGTTATACTTAATGAACTGGAGTTGAAAATGTATTACCTTGACATAGTATTCGATCTTTATAAGTTCACAACCAGCAAGTGATGACTGAGGGAGGGCAGGAATGATGATTTGTTCTTTCCAATCTACCTCTCTACCACCTTTTATTGCTCCTCCTTCCACTTCCACTATCGACTTCAGGTCATAGGTTGGCTTCTTTGTCTCATACGTCACCCTCTGTAAACATTAAAGCACAGATGTCAAAGTACAGTCCTCATGGACTGGTATACTGCAAATTGGTCTGTCTGTAAGCACACCCGAACCACATAGTTGGGTCATCAGCAGTACTATGTAGATTTTAAGTCCATGAGGAAGTGATTCTTCCATTGATTTAGACATAACAGACTTCAACACGTAAAAAGGTTGCAGGATAACAACTCCTTGAAGACGATCGCTTTGATGCCACTGAATTAAAACACAGAGTTAACAGAATTGCATAAGATCTTTTAACTGGTATAATATGGCAAAAGGGCATTGGAATTAATTGACAAGTCATCAACGCTTATCGTCAGGCAGTCTTTCCTTCAGGTGACTGTTGATGCCTCCACCTCAGTCTTCTGAAGTTTCTCACAAAGTAATTCAGGCTGAATCGTGTTAAAAGCACTGGATAAACCACATAAAAATGACCTTCACAGTGCTGTGTGCCCTCTCTTAATGACAGTGGGTTTTTTTGAAACGGGTGAATGATGGCATTTTCAACTCCAAACCCACAGCAATCCGTGGAACGAAATCCGTGGAACCATCTTGTTGGGGTGGTGTTATCCACACAGACGTTGATGTAGTCAGTCACAGTGCTTGCATGGATGTCCTCTCCATGGAGCTGATACAATGGATTCCAGTAGACTCAAAACAACCCTGCAGGGCCTCTTCAGCTTCCTGCGAGCATCTTCTTACATTTCCTTCTAAGGCAGATTCTCCCTTATAAAGTGACTTGTACTCTTAGAGAAAAGTAACCAGTAACTAATTTACAAAGATCTGAAAATTAATTTTTAGACATCCAGAATGTTTATTTTTAGATAGGAGTAATGTTTCAGATATGTGAAAGTAGCAGCTCAACACAGATGAATGGGGAAAATTGAGGTATTTTGTACTAGTTAGGATTACTAGATAAATTACCTTAGATAGGAGGAATACTATTAAAAATATCTGAAATACATATTCAGTCAAGCAAATATATATGAAACGGCCACTTAAAATAAGTACAGATTTGTAGATATCTGAAATGTAGTTCTTACTACTACAAATATGATTCCATTTAACTTAAAACGTAATTTCAACTGGTGGAAATGTAAGTCTAAAATACAATTCTGACCAGGAACATTGTAATTGTGACTAGGTAGAGTGCTTTAGTGCTATCTCTAATAGAAATGTGACTAGTCAGTTAAAATGGAGCTGCATTTTTTTATGTTAGTCAAAATTATGTTTTTAAGTATCTAAAACCGCATTTTTAATAGGCATTATTAAAATCAAGATACTTGAAAACCCAATTTAACTAGTCATAATATATTTTTGATTTCAATAATTGGATTTCTGGATTTCTAGAAGGTTATGTTCATTTTTGATATCTGAAATAGTTTATGGTCATCAGAATTCACTTTTAGATAGGGAGAATATTAATTTTAGATACAAAGAATGTTATTTTAAATATCTGAAAGTAAAAGCTCAATACACATGAATGGGAAACATGACGTCATTTGTACTCGTGCAAATTACATTTAAGATATCTGAATTGCTTGTTATAGATTGGAAAAAAATTATTTTAGATATTGGAACTGTTCATTTTGACTAAGACGAAATGTATTTGAGATATCAGAAATATATATTCAGTCAAGCTAATAAATGTCAAAAGGGCCACTTAAAATTTGTACAGGTTTCTAGGTTTCTGAAAGTCTATTATTACAAGTACAAATATATTTCTTGCATCCTGAAATTTAATTTTTGCTTGCAAAAATGTTATTCAGGATATCTATATGACCAGTTCTGACTAGTAGGAATTTAATTTTAACCCGGAAGAATCTTATTTTAGAGATCAACAAATAGAACACAATGGAGAGGACAGCACTTTTAATGAATGTCAAAACAAACTGCCATACAAACACTGCCAACTAACATCCATTGAGTTTTCAAGTCTTCTTTAGATCTCAATCTGCTCTTATTGTCAGAAAACCTGGCAGAAAGAGGCTGAAGTCTGGAGGATCATCCTGAAGCCATGTTTCAGTAAAAAAACATAATGCTGCATTGCCGACATTAGGGATCATAGCCCTTGGTAGGGCTTTACGTTATTTTAACTTGTTTCCTAATGCCCATAGTGATTGATGGAAGAGACGGCTTAAATTTCCTACTCCTTAAAAATTGTTAATGGGCTGCTCCCAGTTGTAAAGTAATTCCAGAATTATTACATAGATAGGGGCAACGAAAATGCTTAAGATACTAGTAAAAGTCTTTACCTGCATCAGATTGGCAGCTATGTGGCCTGTGGTCTTGGTGGACTGGTTACTGATGTTGGCTGACAGCTTGATAATCTGGCCCGGTGTGTAACCCTTCATATCTGTTTGGGCCTTCAGAATGATCGTCCCCGTTTTCACAAGCATGTAGGTGAACTGTTGAGTTACTGCAGAGGAAGCAGGTCCCTATAAAGCAGAGGTAAAGGACACAAGATAGAATATGTCTGCAAGTTTTTTTAACCCCTAATTTATAAGTTGTTAAAGTCTTGAAGAAAAGAAAAACACCACAATTCAACAAAAATATTTTATGTTTCTTAATTACTTTTTCATTTTGTGATCAATGGTAGTGCAAATGAATAATGACTTGGTTATATAAAAAAAAACAAAAACAGAATACCGTAACATGCCTCTAGTCAAAAGAGGTCAATCTTTTTTTTAAAGACAGCTGCTGAAGCTAAGCCTATATTTAACTATACAGAATTAGCATAAGAGTTTGACCAGAACCAGGGCCCTGTTTAAGCAGGTGCAATAAGTCATAACTTGGAATGAGTTTGAGGATAAATCCCTGAATAACCAGGACTTTCGGTTTCAGAAAGCCAGAGAGCATTTATCCCGAGGCAAATTAATCCTGCAATTTACTCAACAAAACAAATTATAAGATTTTTAGAAGTTATCTAGAGCCGCTTGCACATTCAAGCAGAGTTTAAACACAATAAGGCTGTCACAAATTGCATATCCATTACTGTAGCAGCCTGTAGATGGTGGATAGAAAAATATTAAACATGCACTCGATTAGATGTCTCCCAGTGCCTTCCCTTGTATACATTGCTGTAGTCCACTGACACACACACAGTCCTCCCTCCCTCTTTTGCTGAGGAGAAGTTTGTTTGGACTTCTGCAGGTGCAGAAGTGATAAAGAGTACCGAAAACTAAGGAAGTAAATTTACTGGTTTTACTCCACATGAGCTCATGACGGGTCAACCCTTTCCTGGACCACAGAACAAACCAGACCACTGGCCAGACTAGGACTGACAGGTGACACATTAAAACGGCCTACAAGACACTTTTTCCTTTAATTAGAGACTGCTTTACAGACACACCAAGGTGCCTGGAGACACTCATTGAGAAACATCTCAGCCATCCCTCAGCACCAGAAGGTGTGGCTCAAAGTCATCAAAAGAAACTGATCAGAGCTCATCTCAGCTAATCAGGAAGGAACCAGGAAAAGTTTCAACAAAGCAAATCAGAATAAAGGGGCAGAATAATCCCCTTTGATTTGTTCATTAACACATCAGTAATCCATCTGATGTTTTGAAGACCAGCTGCTCAGCAGACAACGTTCAAAATGTCCCTTGTAAGTGACCAAGATCAGCAGAAAGACCAAGGCACCCACCTGAAGATGTCTGACATCAGCTTTGGCTTTTTGATTATTTAATTATACAACATGAATGAGAAGCGATATGTGTTGTATTTTGATGAAAGGTGGATATTTTTTAGCAATCTGAGTGTTTGATACTAGTTTCTCAATACAAAAGAGCGCTAATATTAATCCTCCACCTTGTTAAGTGTGGGATTTGACTGACCCTGATTCTGAAGAGCTGGACTCTGTGTGAAAGATCTTTGTGTTATTTATTTATTTGTTTATTTGATAGGGACAAGTATGTTTCATGAATCATGTCACACACTACAGCATTATAGCTAAGGCTAATTCTCAATGCCTATCCCCAGTTAGGCTTTTACACAAAACACAGTGACTGTAGACGAGGCAAAACAGAACAAATTACACATTAAGACATCACAGATACAAGATCGTGTCAGTTAAATTATTAATGTTAACATGTCTAACCTCTCAATAAAAAGTAAAAAGTCTTTAAGTTTATGTTTAAAAAGGACCCAGTTTGACTCTCCCTTCAGTTCTGCAGGTAATGTGTTCCATGTTTTGGTGCTTTGTACAGTGAATACAGTGTTATGATTTTAACATTTTGCATTGAGATTGTTTTTTGTTTCTTTTTTAACTTATGAGGTTTGTTTCATTTAGGTCATCAGGTTTATAATTTCACTTATACATTGTAGACATGAAGAAGTACATTTTTCAACTAATTTGACCTTTTCTATTTCCATAATAAAAGTGGTAACTGATAATGATAAGAACTAAAAAATAAAACTCTCAGCAAATAGATTTTACCATGAAGAGTATCATCATATATATA